AAACCCCCTTCACCCCAAGCCAGACAAAAATAATAGGTCTTCACCTGGGTCTCCGGGAAACCAAGCCCGAGGCGAGGATCAAAGTTCTGCACACCACTAGGGCCCCAGTCCACACTCCCCAGGTGGTCCGCGTCCTCCGAGAGCCGCTGCCACGGGAAGGAGGCAAAACTCGTGCACAGGCAGGTGAGGAGGACACGCCGCCATGGGGGGGGGGAGGCCTTCGCCACATGCCGGCACGGTGGGACCTCTTCTGACGCCCCCCCACCGCCATGTGGCCCTCTGCGTGCCTGGCTCAGGCCACCTGACCCTGGCCTGGCTCCTGTCCGGGCTGCCCCTCCGAGACAGAGCCAGTCTTCCCGTCATCTTCCTGTTCCTGGAGTCCAGCACGTCGAGACGCTCGGTAAAATGGTTAAGAGGAAACGAGCAGAAGGAAGGAGGGAGATTTTGGGGTGTAAATGATCGAGGTTTCTGCAGAGACGTAAGGCAGAGAGCGGGGCCACGGGACAGCGCAACTCTCCGCGACCGCTGAGCCACAGGGACTTGCTCCACGCTCGGGTTTTGCTAAACTCAAGCCGTTCTCCACGGCCCAGCGAGCTCCACGGGAAGGGCGGAGGGGTGGGGGGCGCTGCACAGAGCAGGGAGGGACCCCCTCGCAGGGGGGTCTTCTAGTGGATAGGGCAGCCTGTGTCCTCCACCAAGAGGGGACCACGGCCTGAGACGGGGAGGGAGGGGATGGTGGCCCCTGCCCTGGCCAAAGGTAGTCCAGCACCCCCTGGTCTCCAGGGAGATTCCTGAGTCTTGATCCAAATTCTCCACCCCAGCTGCCCCTCCCCTGCCCAGGCGGGGTCCGAGGCTCCCCCTGGCATGAGCAGTCTCCGCCCAAAGCCAGCAGGCACACGGGCGCTCCCTAGAAACCGGAGAAACGTAAGCTAGGAAGGACACCACGCGGCTATCTCCCCCACACCCAAGGCATTTCGTTCCCACCGTGTTGGGGGCTGAGATTTCGTGCTCTCGACCCATTCCCTTGGTTTCACCGATCGGCAGCTGCCAGCCACACGACGCAGTGCAGATGGCCCAGAGGTGGGCTCCCCAGGACCGGCCCCTCCACTGCCCCTTGCAGCTGAGTGACCTCGGACAGGTCTCCACCCTTCCCGAATCCCATCTCGGACGTCAGACCCTTGGGATCCGAGGCTGCCAACTCCTATCCCCAGATCTGCCCAGCATCCCAGGGCTGACGCCAAGAGCCCGGGAGCAGAGGGACCCGGGCAGTGGGAGGCCCAATGCTGAGGGGGGCTGACCTGCTGGAGGGCTGCACCTGCGTCTTCCTTCCCATTCCGAAGCCCAGAGTGGGCCCGGCTGACCCCGTTACTTCTCTTGCCAAGGCATGTCCAGGCTTAGGGAGGGGTGCGGGGCTGGCTGTGGCATTCCCTGTGCCTGCTCAGGGAGGGGGTCCCACAGCTCTGCCGGGAACACTGTGCACGCATGTGGAGCCGACTCTCAGATCCTCGCCCAGCACCAGCGAAGGTGGGCCCGGTCCAGCAAGGTCTAGACGGTGCAGCGCTCGGGAGACTATCATTTCAATAAATTAGAAACTTCCCAGGCACAGCCGTCTGGAAATGTGTGTGGGGGGGGGGGTACCTGGGGACTAATGCAGGGAGATCTGTAACTCGACCAGGCCCCCCAGGAGGAGCAGCCCGTGCAAAACAGGAATCTGGGCCGACTGGAGCAGCATCTCAAAGCCAGGAACAGAGCAATTAGAACTGGCCCCGAGAGTCAGCTTAATGAGCTTCTATTCCCTAGACTGCCTCTAATCGGGACCCAACTTGGGGAGCAAATTTCCTCCAGGCTGTCCTGCTAGACACAGTCCTCCTGTCTCGCCTGAGAGGCCAGCATCGGGGAGGGGCTTGACTTTTATTGAAAAGCTCAGTTTCCACCAGAGGTGAATTTCTATGCTGCAATTAACAGGAAATAATGCAGCGGAAGCAGAAAGGCTTCCGTTTCTTCACTAATAAACAGGTAAACGGGGCATGGTGGTCCACACCTGTAGTCCCACCTACTTGGGAGGCTGAGGCAGGAGGATCGCTTGAGCCCAGGAATTCAAGACCAGCCTGGGCAGCAAAGGGAGACCCCATGTCTAAGTGGTAGCACCACTGACCAGGGTGGAGGGGGCTGGAGATGCTGATGAGTATTGGACGGGCCTCCCAGGTTTGGCTTCCCCTGTGGGGCCCGAGGTGGACTGGGAGACATTCCAGAATCCAGGCTGGGGTCAGAGGGAGCCTCAGCTCCCCTTGCAGGTGCAGAACAAGTGGCACGTGCCTCGGGGCAGCTGCTGGTGAACAGAGAGCAAGCAGTCCTGGGGGGCTCCACTGAGTCCAGCCCTGCGCCCCTTTCCGGCTGCCCAGAGCTGGGACTGCCCGTGAGCAGCTAGCGGTCCTCCACCACCACAGGGAATTGGATACGAGCCCTTTGCTCTCTGGAGCCTGCGAGATCCAGGTCTCTCTGCAAATGTCAGGTGTCAGGCTGGGTCCTGCCTGCAGGAGGCCTTTCCTCTCCCTGTGGCTAGCCGTGGCCCTGGGTGGCCGCGGCCAGTTGTCCATAGGCCAGGTAGCAGCTGGAAGCCCATGGAAACAAGGACCTTCTTGGCTAGGTCACCTCATAATGTACGACAGCCTCGTGTCTCCAGAGTCCTGAACCATGAGGTCATTTTTTACAACAGCCACAGGAGATTAACGACAAGAGAAACCCGGAAAGCCTGACTTTCCCAGGTCTGACCACAGCCCTCACACGCTCCAGCACCTTGGTGACTCCCTGTCACCCCACAATGAAGGCAGATTCCCTGGGAGGTCTCCAGGGACCCCTGTGGCCTGGCCCCACGTGGCACTGCAGCAAGGTCACCCCCCAGCCTCACCTGCCCGCCATGAGCGGGGGCATCTGACGTCAGGGTACCTTCTGGGCCCCTTCCGGGATGCCCCAGATACAGACGGCAAGAGCCAGGCCCGCTGAGGGACAGGAGGACGCTGGGTCCACAGGAGACGCCCCACTTCACCGGCCGTGGCTCCGGGCCCTTTGCTGGCCAGGAATGGCCCCACAGCTGGACAATCCGCAGTGAGGGGAGCGAGGTGGCAGTTAGCAGCAGCTCAGTGGCCAGTCTTGGCAGATCTCTGAGAACAAAGGCACCAGGGCTGCAGGGACACTGCCTACCCTCAGCTGGCCCCGTGGGCTACGCTGCTGAACCCCAGGGCGCTGGGACCCGGCTGGCAGCCTCCTGCCCACGGCCGAGGCCCAGCCACAGCACTGCATGCGTGAGGAGCCGACCGCTCCTGAGAGCCTTTCTGCCCACGGCTGGGCTCCAAGTGCCAGCAGCCTCGGGGACGTGAGACCCAGGCCACTGCCGTGGTCGGCCCTGGCAGGCTGCCCTGGGACATCTCATCGTCTTGCCCGAGGAATGGGAGGACACCAAGGGAGGACACGAGAGGTGGCAGCCAGCATGAGCCGTTCATGCGACCGAGCGAATCACAGCCCCACACGCTCACCTGCCCGCCCACTGCTCACCCCAGGACAACAGCACAGCGAAGCCGGGACAGAGCAGACTCTGGGTTTGAATCCCGGCTCAGCTACTTACTAGCTGTGCAAGCTCTGGTAAGTTACATGCCCTCTCTGTGCCCCAGTTTGCTCATCTACAAATTGGGAGTGATAGTGGTGGCAATACCTACCTCACAGGGTGGTTGCAGGGGACGAGTTATATTTACAGAGTAGATGAGTCGATGCCAAGCACCCAGTAAGCCACGGGCATGTCTGGGTTAGAAATAAACAGGCTATGAGCTTGGCTTCCCCATCTACAAAATCAGAGAATTGTCCCAAGGGACAAACAAAATGAGGTTTCTTGGCTGTCAGCCGCAATCCCTGGAACACAACCATCAGTAAGGAGCAGCTGCAATCCATCATCATCATCATCATCATCATCACCATCATCGTCATCCTCACTGTCACCGTCATCCCCTATTCACGCACGCCAGGGACGGTGTTGTCCTTGCAGGGCTGGAGGAAGGCAACTGAAATTAAAGAGTGCCTCACGAATGCATTGTCATTATTGTTCCTGACTCCAAAGAAAGCTGAGCTACGCTTCTTTTGACCCCCGAACACATTCTCGTAAACACAGATTCCAAATTCCGGCATCGTAGTTATGAGGGTAGTCATCCTCCGGTTCTCAGCCGACATCCAGAAACCTCGCACTGTCCCAACCACTCTGTCCTTGTGTGTTGGGAGCCTATCTGTTCCCCAGGAGCGAGGCAGACTGCCCAAGACCCCCGCAGGGCAGAACCAAGCCCCCCGAGGAAACACCACGGCATCACGTGAGCCCCGATCTCCAGCCCTTAGACTTCCTTAGCCCCGACCACCATGAGTGATCACACACACACACACACACACACACACACACACACAGTCTCTTTGCCAAGGAACCCAGGAATGACCCCAGAAATAATTAAGGCAATGACCTAAAACCTGACCTTCCCAAAAACATCTTAACACCCTACCCACTCTCTTGCCAGCCACAACCAAATGCCACCCAAGTCTCTGTCCCCTCCTCGGCGAACCTCTCATCAGTGACATGCATGTAAACATCAGCCAGCACCACATGATACTCCTACAAATGTCAAGCCCATTGGGTGAAGAACCTAAGAGAAGCTGAGTGAGTCTAATTCAGACCCCTCCACTCTCTGCGGGAGCCCCTGGTGAGCAGAGGAAACAGCAAGATGTCCCTCCTCAAACAGGGGCCAGTGCTTTTCCAGATGCCTCACGGGTGAGCCTCCCACACCCCAGCAAGCACTTGCCCTGAGCAGAGAGAAATGAAGGAGGGGCAGAATACAGGGACCCCCAGGTTCTTTGCCAGAGCCTGGCAGTGTGATATGCTCACTATATCCCACTAGAGAAGCCATTCCTTCCTTCCATCTACCCACCTACCCGCCCATCCTTCCAACCATCTATCCATCCATCCATCCATGCATCCAGTCATCTTTCCCCTTTTATCTACCTATCTGATATGGGTGTCTGTTCATCGGTTGAGCCATCCATCCATCCATCCATCCATTCATCCATCTGTCCATTGATGGATCCATCCATCTATCCACCTACCCATCCACCTGCCTATCTACCCATCCACCCACCTATCCATCCATCCACCCACCTATCCATCCATCCACCCACCTATCCATCCATCTACCCACCTATCCATCCATCCATCTATCTGTCCATTGATGGATTCATCCACCCACCTATCTACCCATCCACCCACCTATCCACCCATCCACCCACTTGTCTATCCATCCACCCACCTATCCACCCATCCGCCCACCTGTCTACCCATCCACCCACCTGTCTACCCATCCACCCACCTATCCACCCATCCACCCACCTGTCTACCCATCCACCCACCTATCCACCCATCCACCCACCTATCTACCCATCCACCCACCTATCCACCCATCCACCCACCTATCTACCCATCCACCCACCTATCCACCCATCCACCCACCTATCCACCCATCCACCCACCTATCTACCCATCCACCCACCTATCTACCCATCCACCCACCTATCCACCCATCCACCCACCTATCCACCCATCCACCCACTTGTCTACCCATCCACCCTCCTATCTACCCACCCATCCACCTGTCTACCCATCCACCCACCTGTCTACCCATCCACCCACCTATCTACCCATCTACCCACCTATCCACCCATCCACTCACCTATTTACCCACCCACCTATCCATCCATCCACCCACCTATCCACCCATCCATCCATTTCTTTGGCTCACTCAGAAGTGATTCCCTCCCAGAGGGCTTGAATGCAGACTGGACACTCCCACAGCATCCTGGTTGTTGTGGGAGAACCACCCAAATGTAGACATATCCACCTGCTCTGTGTACTTTGGAACTCAAGCTACAAATGATTTCAGAGGGCATTTTGAAATAATGACAAAAATTAAAGGCTAGACCCTGTGGTTTCTTTTTTTTTTTTTCTTTTTTTTCAGAAAAACATGGAGTGTTTTTACGTATCCCAGCAATAAAATAGCTGTTTGGAATAAACCCTCTGTGCTTCTATTGAGCTCATCTCTTACAAGGTTGTCATAGTATTTGGGAAGGCCAGATCTTCCTGGGGGGCAGATTACTAGGGAAATGCTAAGCCCTGCTTAGAACCCTCACCCCGTGTCTGGCCTGGGGCCCTGCGGACCTCGTGTTCACCGGGTCCCTTCTCATCCCTGTCCACACCCCCCACTGAGGCCTGAACTTCAGCCTGTACCGTTTCATTCCTTCAACTGGGATGAACCTCACCAGCGTTCACGTGGCCTCCCCTGACGTGGACAGAGCAGTTGACGGAACAATTCCAGGGGTGAAGAGGTTATGTGACGATGTCCCCCGGGATCACTGCAATATTCAAGCCATTAGAGAGAGCAGTACCAGACATTGCTCTGTATTGATTTGTTTTTTTAATTCTGAGGCCAGGCAAACTTTCAAACATATTTTAACAAAAAAATCAACATAGGTATCATTCAAGTTGCCTTTTTACGCCTGGCGGGTTGGGACTTTGCCAGAGAGCAGCGAAATCAGCCGACCTCCACAATTCCCCACTCCAGACAGCAGCCTGGAAAGAGGAGTGGGCCGTGTTGAGCGAGCAGAATTATTCAGACAAACTCCCCACAAGCCTCATACCCTCTCCCTCTTGCTATTCTCCCGAAAGGAGCAAAATTAACTGGCCTGAATATTTTGACTACCTTCATCTGTCTTTCTGCAACTTGGATGGACTTCAAGAGCCTTTCAGAATGGATTTGATGTAGGGCTGCTCTATTTCATTATCGATTTCAGTTCCAGTGTAAAACAAGGAGTTTATGTCCACATCCAGAACATAAATATGCCGCCGTTCTAAGTATTGCACCGGGCGGTCTCCGCGGGGTGGCGGAGCGCTGACACGCTCTTGCTGACCTGCGGGCACCTGCAGTGACGGTGACTCACAGACAGCCAGGACCGGACAGACCCTCCTTTCGTCACTAACACTGCGTCCCCTGCCGTCAGACACTGGCAAAACCACCTGTCGTCATTAAAAGCAAAGACATTCGGAATCCTCCCCAGACCAGGGCCACCTGCACCACGTCCCCCCGCAGAGGGCGGGGACAGTGAACGCAGTGGTGTGTCCTCCTACCGGAAGGCACATGGGCCAGTCTTCACCCCCCGGGGGTTTTTCCCATCTGGAAATGAGCAACGCTCTTCCCAAGCGCTGCCCAGCGTGTCCAGCCCCCGCACAGAGACCCGGGTTAGCCAACCACCAAGTTTCCCAACAGGAGAAAAATTTTAACCATCCATCCACCCATTTTCTCCCAGAAAAAAAAAATTAGGTATAAAATAAATCGCACTAAGACACTTTTTCATGTTCAGTGCATTAAAACCAGAAGTCAGTCCCCGTTTTCTTTTCTTTTCTTTTTCTTTTTCTTTTTTTTTTTTGACAGTCTCGCTTTGTTGCCCAGGCTAGAGTGAGTGCTGTGGCGTCAGCCTAGCTCACAGCCACCTCACACTCCTGGGCTCAATCTCCTTCTGCCTCAGTCTCCCAAGTAGCTGGGACTACAGGCATGTGCCACCATGCCCGGCTAATTTTTTCCATATATATTAGTTGGCCAATTAATTTCTTTCTATTTATAGTAGAGACGGGGTCTCGCTCAGGCTGGTTTCAAACTTCTGACCTCGAGCAATATGCCTGCCTCAGTCTCCCAGAGTGCTAAGATTACAGGCGTGAGCCACCGAGCCTGGCCAATTCCCATTTTCTTAAAGGACCAGACATAAGTATTTTAGAGCCATGGTCCGTGTGGACACGGCTCCACCCCGGCCCCAGCGGGGTGCACATGAGGGGGTGAGACCTCACTGGCCAGGCGGGCAGATGTGCCCGCGGCTGGTTTGCTAACCCTGTGTGGAGGCAGCAGGAAAGTGCTGGGAAATGGGACGGGTGTTGTGAACGAAACGCGATTTCTCGGGCATTTCTGGTTTTAGGAAGACCGGATTGTGCAGCCAGACCAGGACTCCACAGGGAACTTCCGTCCTGGTGAGAGGTTGGCTTCATGTCTCCTAATACCCAACAAGAGCCTGTCGCTGAGGATTTTTTCCATGTCTCCAGTAATTCGCCCTCCTTAAGCTTCGCTTCCCGGCCTTGACAATTAGAGTCAGAAACGGAAACAAAGAAGATTCCAAGGTCCCAGTGGGCATCCCTCTACGGGTCATTCCAGGTCACCCCCCTGGGGACAGAGGAAGCCTCTGGAAGAAGGTGAGTCAATACTCAGGCTGTGGGTCCCCTATGCCAGCGTCCCTGACCTGGTGCAGCACCGCCGTGCCTGGTCACATCAGAAACGGCGCAGACCCAAACACGGGTGTCAGGGAGGCAGGTTGTTTGGAGAACATGACTGGAGAAGAAAAATTAGGAAAGATCAGGTACAGAGCCGGGCCGCCAGGCTTCTTCAGGAAGGCTCCACTTGAGTGTAGATCTGAGTCTTTCTCCCGCAATTAAACACTTCAGCAATTAATTGACTTCAGCAATTTTTAAGAAAAGACGAGATTCAATTTCCACTCCCTTAAAATGCAATCTAGACAATTTATGAAAAGGAAGCGCATATACTGCAGCGATGAGTAGGTTTTCTCTTGCCACATCCTTCCTTAAAAGCACTTGGAGCGGTAAAAAATATTCCTAAATCAAAGGGAATGCCACACTTAATAAAATGAACGTCAGCATAATTAATTTAGTAGCTCCTTTCGTTACCATAAAGGACGAATCAAGAGCTCTGTGCAGCCTGTACGTTTCTTGCTGGACGAATCTCTGCTGAATGTTCGATTAAAACTGAAGAAAATCAGGTGGCCACAGAGGCCTTCAGCCCCGCGTTGAGCCTCCTGCTGCCGTGAGAAACCCTGGGGACCTGAGCGGACGCCACCGCTGAGAAACGCGAGGCTGCGAGTCGTGGCCTCTGGGAGTGAAGACAGACGGTGACAATGACCAGGGTGACCGAGTCAAGCGCAGGTTGCGGTGGAAGGTTCTAGAAGAGGCATAGGGAGCATGAGAGAAGATCTGTAAACAGGAGAGGCAGAAGGCACTGGAGGGAGGGGGTTTGGGGTAGCCCCCGGCCCCGGAATCCCCACACGTGTAAGGCCCTTCTTAGTGCACACGCAGACACACGGTCGTGTACATACAGAGACAGACGCAGACACGCACTGCACGCAAACAGCTACATGCGCGTGCACACACCAGAGACACATACGGCCCACCCTGGGACACAAACACCCTGCACAGAATAGATGGGCACACCACAGACAAATGCACACACGGACACGTGGACACAGACACACACGCGGGCACGAACCACATGCACACGCAGAAGCACACTCACAGACGTGCACTAGGTAGGAGTACACACACCCCAAATCACACACATGTACACCTTTCCGAGCTGACACAACATGCATACGATGCTCGGCCGAAGATAAATTCGCTTCCAGGCACAAGCCTAGCGCCGAGGACATCTCCCTGGGTGACGGGCAAAGGCGGCATGAGGAAGCAGCAGGCACCATTGTCCGCGTCTCGCCAGGCTCTGTGTTCTGCAGATGAGGAGTCACTTAGCTATCACCAGCACTCAGCACGCGGCCTGACACATGGTAGGTGCTCAATGTTTGCTGCTCAAAATCCAAACAGTCTAGAAGAAGACAGGAATCTAGAAATCAAGTAGCCTGAGGCGTCTGGCACCATACTCCCTCCCGGCCCCTCCCCTGCAGGACGCCTTGGGGGTTCCCCCCTGCAAGGTGAGCAGCCCCTGCAGGACGCTAGGAGCAGGGACCACCTGCCTCTGAATCTCAGCTCCACCCCTCCTGGCTGGGCAACCTGAGGAAAGTTGCTTGAGCTCTCTGTGCCTCGTCCTCTGTGTGCCGTGGGAGTAGTAACAGTAGCCGTGTCTTGGGGTTTTGAGTTTTAGATGAGATGGAACATGCACAGCTCTTAGGGGAAGACTTGGCCTGAAGCAAGTTCCCATGAAACGCTGGCTCCTGTCACGGCAGTAAGTGCTGTCACGTTGCTCCCAGCAATCACGCTTGTTAAAGACCAGGGAGCAGCAGGTCCCAGACGAGAGGTCTCCCTCCTAAAATCACTCACCAGGCTAGGACAGGAGCGGGGCTGGAACCCAGGGTGTGGATGGTCAGAAATGCCATTCCGCCCACCACCCCTCCGTGGCTTCCTTCCTTCTCTGCGAGTTTCTGTCTCCTGCTGAGACTGTCCTCCCAGACTCCAGAAGCATGGGCCCCAGACTCAGCCTGTCCAGGACTGAGCCCTCCGTCTCCCTCTGGGCCTGTGCCGTCCTCCCAGCGGGGTCCCCCCCAAGACCTCGCTTTCTCACGTACCTGCTCCCCCATCTGTCCTCCCATCCTCCTGGCCCGACCTTCCAGACAGGCCTGGAATCTGGGCTCTCTTCCCACTCCCCTGCACCCTCCTCCCTCCCCTGGTCTCCTCAGGTGGGCCCTCGCTCCTGCCTGGACTCCCCGAGGCGACCCTCACCCCCTAGCTGTGAACCCTTGACTCACCACCCAGAGTGATGTGTCCACAGGCTCCTGCAGGTGCAGCCCCAGTTCCACCCAGAGGGAAACCCACATCTGTACCCTGGCTCCCCCAACAATCTACCCTCCATAACCCTCTGATCTCACTCCAGCCGCCAGCTTCCTGGCTGCTCCTGGAACCTGGCAGGCAGGTGCCCACCTGGGTCCACTACCCGGGCCACACCCTCTGCCTGGAATGTCCTTCCCCGGATGCCTGCGGGGGAGATTCGCACAG